CAACACAGGACAGCCGTTGTGCTGGGGAGCAAGATGAGGAGGCAGAAGAGAAAGAGAGAAAGAAAAAGAGAGAAATTCATCCCTTCTCACCCAGTTTTCACAGCTCTGTTTATTTTGGGCACCAACCAGCTGCCTCCTCCCAATTAAACCTCCATATCTGGAGCAGAGAGTTGCATAACTGAGATGCCCAGATCTGAATATTCCCAGCCGGGTGGGGAGAAAGGGGCGCATGCTGAATTTCCCCCCTCCCAATTTCCATCAATTTCACTCTCCTCCCAAGCCCTGCCCAGTTGGGTCTGAGTCCCAGCTTAGCCACCCCTCACAACAGCAAGCGTGCAGCAGGGCGAGAGATCCCCTAACCATAAGCAGAGTGCCTTTTCCTTCTCAGGGAGCACTGCAAGCGCCTCCATCCCCTTCAGCCGTTTGGGGAGAGGGGTCTTGTGCTCAAATCCTGCTGGCTGGTTTTCCACAGGCGTGCGGCTGGCTACTGTGAGAACGGGAGGCTGGACTAGGTGGGCCATTGGCCTCATCCAGCAACCTCTTCTTATTGCTCTTACAGGATTAGAGGCAGAACTGATAGGGATGGAACTGGATCAGAGGAGCACAGATTGATAATTGGGATCCTTCCACACACCCCTCCAAAAACACACACAAAATAACCTATAAATTCTGCTAGGCACGAAGGCCCAAGGCAGTATGCGTCTGAATACGACTAGCTGGGAATTGCAAGAGGGAGAGTGCTGCTGTTGTGCTCAGGTCTTCTTGTGGGCTTCTTCGAGCCCAAGCTAAGGATGGGGGAAGAATTTGGTTCGGTTCTCTTTTAAAGGCCAACTTTCCGAATTTGCACCTTCCAAAGCAACCAGCCCACCGAAACACAGACTGCTGTCTCAATCCACACCTCTGAATTTTGCAGAAAGTATATGCAGAAAAAAATGAACATACTAAAGTGTGCATATGTTAGTTAAACTAACATATAAACCTGGGAAAAACCAGAGAGAAACCCATGATTCTTTCAAACCTGACTGCCCTGTCCAGTTTCTGCCTTGATTTGTTGGTCTTCACCCCCCCAACTGATCCAAAACACAAGTCTGGGCAAATGCACTTGGCCACATCTTCCCCTCGTCGCCCTTGCCTCTCTTCTTCCCTCCATTGTCTTATTCACTGCCTCCTGTGGCAGAGAGTTCCATAGTTTAACACTGCACTTCATGAAGAAGTCCTTTCTTACATTTGTCCTGAACCTTTCAACGTTCAACTTCATTGGATAGCCATTGGTTCTGATGCTATGAGAGAGAGTGAAAAAAACTTTCCTCTATCTACTTTCTCCATGCCATGAATAATTTCATGCCATGAATAATTTTATGAACTCCTATCATGTTGCCTTTTCTCCAAACTAAAAAGTCCTAAACGCTGCAAACTTCGGAGTCACTGCAAACCCTTGATCATTCTGGCTGCCCTTTTCTGAAATTCTTCCAATTGACTCTACAATATCCTTTTTGAGGCGTGGTGATCAGAACTGTAAGGTAAAGGATCCCTGGATGGTTAAGTCCAGTCAAAGGCGACTATGGGGTTGCGGCGCTCATCTCACTTTCAGGCCGAAGGAATCGGTGTTTGTCCGCAGACAGCTTTCTGGGTCATGTGGCCAGCAGGACTAAAGCGCTTCTGGAGCAATGGGACACTGTGACAGAAACCAGAGCACATGGGAATGCCGTTTACCTTTCCGCCACAGTGGTACCTATTTATCTACTTGCACTGGTGTGCTTTCGAACTGCTAGGAGCTGGGACAGAGCAAAGGGAGCTCACCCCGTTGTGGGGATTCGAACCGCCGACCTTCCGATCGGCAAGCCCAAGAGGCTCAGTGGTTTAGACCACAGCACCACCCGCTGTACACAGCACTAGGGACTGGGGAGAAGATTTTTGGTACAAGGGACCCCACAGAGAGCCACCTGACCGCTGTCAGGCCTGAGGTCCTTCAGCGCAACCGGGCTCCGCAGGTTCCTGCCTGCTCCGTGGTGCAATTTGCCTCTGGAATAATCCAGGCAGGATGTTCACGCTCTTCAGCTCCTTCCAGACTCCAGTCAGTGCCCCAGGCACATTCCCAAACCTCTCCAACAACCCGGACCTTTCTGGCTGGCTTGAACTCCCTCCTTACACCCTCCCTGCCTGCCTCGTAGGCATAAAAAATACTAGCTTGTTTATTCCTAAAGTTTGAGGTAGGGAAGGAAATGCACGGGCAGAATAGAAGCAGACTCTGCCTGGAACACCATGACGTTCTTCACACCCACGTGCAATCTCAAAGCAGCGAGCGAGCGAGCTTCAGGGTTCCACAGAGGTCTTCTTCAGTCAGATGTTACACAAAACCGGTGATGGGGAAGGCAGAGGTGTTGATGGCAGGAGTGACACACAAACACACCAAAGCTATGTTTTTTTGTGTGGTAGAAGAGGAAGGGCGTTTGAGGTGCCGGTGGCAATAGAAGGCCTAAGAAAAAACTGGGGTTTAGCAGAGAGACGTGAAGGTTTCAGAAGATTACATATTGCAGATGAGCAAACTGACACATAAAGAAATGTGGGGGTTTTGGGGGGGGCGTGTGCAAACAGAGTTTTGCATGTGGAAAAGCTCTGTCTGAATGCCTTATTACCAATGGGATCCACACTTGTGTTCCGATCAACCCGTTTTTGAGGGTTTCGCAGTGATTGTGTGAACCTGCTCTTAGGGGTATTTTACTCCTTCGGCGGCAAGCGGCAAGCCCACCAGATGGAGACTCTTGACATACAAGAAGAAGGCCTTTGCACAAACATCACAGCAGGTGTTATGTACCGAGTTGAATAGGATCAGAATGCAGCAGTCTGATTGGTCCTAGAACAATAGGATTCAGAGTGCAGCAATATGATTGGTCCGCAGGAGCCACCCAATCCAGCTCCAGGTGGAAGTGAATCCGCAACCTGATTGGCCTACAGGAGAATCCCGGAATTAGCCAATCACGTGCAGCCCATTGTGTAAATAATGTATATAAAGCAGACATTCTGGGGGAACTTCCATTCCTCCTCACCACTATGAGCTGAATAAAGAGAATGAAATCCACTCTCGATTCCGAGTATATTTCAGCAGGCAACCTGGAGCAGCTACCAGGACTGCTTCCAGGCTGCAATTTTGCAGGACGGGTTCAACTTCCATTCCAGCACAGGGAGGTTGCACAGTTAAAGAGGGATGCAGAGCTCTGGGGAAAACAGCTGTCTTGCTCCAGTGGGTGCCAGGCCCCAATTTGTGAAAACAGATCAGGACAAATGCTCAAATAAGCAGGCCGTCCAGAAGAGCCCTAGTAGCACTATCAGCTAATCTTTGGATTTCAGGTGAGCATGCCTGTGTGATACACCTGTTGGTCGCATTCGCACGATACGTTTTAAAGCTTACAGGGAAATGCGAAGGATAACTCTGGTGCACGCCTCCAAAGGCAGGAACGAGGTTTCACTTTGGGTGCTATTTTGGGACTGATTGTCCCGCGAGAACCCTACGAGTCTGCACACGGACATAGAGGTTGCAGCTTTGCGGGAAGATGTGCCGACTTAGACAGGCGAGTGAGTCACGTCGTGCTGCTCAACTTCCTCCCGGCACCCCTGCCCCGCCCTGCTTCCGCTCAGGTTAGCTCCTTGCCGTTATCGGACTCAGTTGGTCTGATTCCCCACATCCTCTGAAGCCACAGCACATGGCTGCCCTCGCACATGCGCACCCCCCAAGGCCTTTCCTTACCCTTTCCCCCTTCTAAATGGAGCACTGACACATGCAACTTTAGCAAAAAAATAAAAATGAAAAAATGAGAATGAGGGGGTGGATTCCGTGTTGCTTAGCGACACTTGTGCCTAGCGACCAAAGTGCTTAGCGACCGAGGAAGGACCTGTGATCCGTCCTTCCCTCTCCAAAGAGTTTTCTGCAGCGGAGAGACCTTCCCCTCTCTCCCAACGCTTCCTTCCCAGCTTGCTTGCATTCTTTTGGCTGATAAAGGTTACCAGGAAACAAGCCCACTCCTGGTTCATTGCAAAACACACACACACAGAAACACACACAAACGCACACTCATGCGTGAACACACAAACTCTCCACCTTGCGGGGGAGGTTTTCCAGCAGCCTGGCACTTGCCGCATTTTGCAGGGGGCTTGAAGCTTTAATGCTTCTCAAGAAAAAGAAAGGGAACTTTGGGGGGGGCGTTTCCCCCCATGGCGAGGGAGACTATGGCTTTGGATTGGGCCTGGGGAGCTGGAGATCGATCAGGCAGACACAACGTCGTCAAAAGGGGAGATAGGAAGCTGCCTTGTATACTGGGTCAAACTCTTGTAATAATAGTAATAATAATAATAATATTTTTTTATTTATATCCCGCCCTCCCCAGCCGAAGCTGGGCTCAGGGTGGCTAACAACAATAAAATAATAGAACATTAACCTAGACAGCATCTTAAAAAGCAGAGACATCACCTTGCCAACAAAGGTCCGTATAGTTAAAGCTCTGGTTTTCCCAGTAGTGATGTATGGAAGTGAGAGCTGGACCATCAAGAAGGCTGATCGCCGAAGAATGGATGCTTTTGAATTCTGGTGCTGGAGGAGACTCTTGAGAGGCCCATGGACTGCAAGAAGATCCAACGTATCCATTCTTAAGGAAATCAGCCCTGAGTGCTCACTGGAAGGACAGATCCTGACGCTGAGGCTCCAATACTTTGGCCACCTCATGAGAAGAGAAGACTCCCTGGAAAAGACCCTGATGTTGGGAAAGATGGAGGGCACAAGGAGAAGGGGACGACGGAGGATGAGATGGTGGGACAGTGTTCTCGAAGCTACCAGCATGAGTTTGACCAAACTGCGGGAGGCAGTGGAAGACAGGAGGGCCTGGCGTGCTCTGGTCCATGGGGTCACGAAGAGTCAGACATAACTAAACGACTAAACATCAACAACAACCACCCCCATCAGCCCCAGATACCATGGCCAATGATCACAGAACCAGAGAATTGTAGCCATCCCCTGGGTGAGATCAAACCACCAACCTTCTGGTTCACAGGCAGGCGCACTGACCAGTTGTGCCACAGGAGAGCTTGAAGAGCAGAATCATAGAATTGTAGAGCTGGAAGGGACCCCATGGGTCATCTAGTCCGACCCCCTGAAGCTCAATGTGGGGCTTGAACCCCTGACCCTGAAATAAAGATCTTCATGTTCTACCAGCTGACCAGTCCAGCAACATCTGAAGGGGCAAAGGTTTCTGAACACCTGGACTAAGAGCGTTAGTTTGCTAAAGTCGTGGGATGTTCAGATTTTTATCAGCGGCGCTGAGAACATAACGGTTCCTTCTTTCCAACTTTGGAGTGTCCTTGTCCATCTGCACCATATCCTCCATGAATCTGTCTAATCATCTTTCCAAGCCATCCAAACTGGTGGACGTCACTGCCTGCTAGGGGAGCGAGTTCCACAGTTTAACTCTGCGCTGCCCAAGAAGAGCTAGGGGTGAACCTATGGAGGAAAAAACTGAGTAATTTTATAATTTTAGAATACCTAACTGTGAAGATACATAGAATGAAAGGGTTTAAGGTCAGTGAGAAAGAGGAGGATTGGTTTGAGAAGATATTGAATTATTTGAGTAGGTTTGAACAATTTGGAGCAATTAAAATGCTAAAAGTTAAATAAAACTTGTGGAAGGAAGAGTGTTAAGGTATAGAGAAGTGTACATATGTGTTATGTACTGAGTTGAATAGGATCCAAAAGTCAGCAGTCTGATTAGTCCTAGAACAATAGGACCCAGAACGCAGCAGTCTGACTGGTCCGCAGGAGCCACCCAATCCAGCTCCAGGTGGAAGGGAATCCGCAACCTGATTGGCCTACAGGAGAATCCCGGAATTAGCCAATCACGTGGGGCCCACTGTGTAAATAATGTATATAATGCAGACATTCTGGGGGAACTTCCTTCCTCACCACTATGAGCTGAATAAAGAGCATGAAATCCACTCTCGACTCCAAGTATATTTCAATATGGTTGATTTGAACATGTTATTATTGAATATTGTTGAACATGTATATTATTGAATATTGTATACCCAATGTATCAGCCGCCCGGGGGGGGGGGCGTTCACTGTTTGTGTTTTGGTGGTTGGTAAAAAATAAAATATTATAATAATAATAATAATAAACTCTGCACTGCATGAATAAGTCCTTTCTCTCTGCTGAAGGTTTGCAAGCACACACAGTGATTTAAGTCGAATCGCTTATTTGAGCAACTGTTTTGCAAAATGAAGGAAAAAGGGGAGGCAGCCTTAAAATACATTTAGTTAGAATAACACGTGGGCTGGCAGTGTTTTAGGAGTGGGGGGGGGGAGCAGAGGGGCTGGTTTTCTCGCTCCCCACCCCCCCTCTTTTGTAATCTTCAGCCTCCTTTCGTCAGTTTCTCTCCTTTTAACTGTCTGTTCTGAACATCCAGAACAACAACAGCCTTTGAAACTCCAGCTGGCTAAATTAATCTCAGCAGCATCTCCTCTCCTGCAACACACACACACACACACACAGACACGGCCCTTCCTCATCCCACTTCCCCTCCCACACCTGGAACCATAACAGATTGCATAAGAAGCTGTCAAAGAAACACTCTGAGCCAGAGTTGGAAGCGTTTCCACTCCCCCAGCAGCACCACGTGCTCCATGTTCCTCCAGCACAAAACATCATCAGGGGTTTGAGCGGGAGGCGGCGATGACTCACCCCCAGCCATTAAGGAGCCTTTCTTTTAAAAGAAATTAATGGGTTTGCAAACGGCAGGCAACCTAGAAACAAGGGCGGAACAACCTGAAGCTTCCTTGAAAGGCCTTCAAAGATTGTGCTTCAACTGAAGCTCCCGTCTGCCACTGAAGTGTGTTCCTTTAAGGACCCAAGAAGATGCCTGCAGGATCAGGGCCAGTGGCCCGTCTAGTACAGCGCCCTGTTCTCAAAGTGGCCAACCAGATGCCCATTTTGGGAAACCTACAAACAGGATTTGAGCACAAGAACAACTCTCTGGTTTCCAGCAACTGGTTTTCGGGGCTACCTTTGAAGGTGACCCGGAAACTACAACTAATCCAGAATGCGGCAGCCGGACTGGGGACTGGGCGCGGCCGCCAAGACCACATAACACTGGTCTTGAAAGACCTACATTGGCTCCCAGTACATTTCCGAGCACAATTAAAGTGTTGGTGCTGACCTTTAAAGCCCTAAACAGCCTCGGTCCAGTATACCTGAAGGAGCGTCTCCACCCCCATCGTTCAGCCTGGACACTGAGGTCCAGCGCCGAGGGCCTTCTGGTGGTTCCCTCACTCCGAGAAGCCAAGTTACAGGGAACCAGGCAGAGGGCCTTCTTGGTGGTGGCACCCACACTGTGGAACATCCTCCCACCAGATGTCAAAGAGAAAAATAACTACCAAACTTTTAGAAGACATCTGAAGGCAGCCCTGTTTAGGGAAGCTTTTAATGTTTGATGCATTACGGTATTTTAATATTTTGTTGGAAGCCGCCCAGAGTGGCTGGGGAAGCCCGGCCAGATGGGTGGGGTATAAATAATATATTATTATTATTATTATTATTATTTTATTTTCAGAAGCATCGCTGCGTCTGACTGGGGAGGCAGACTTTAGCCAACAAGGCTAGCAGCCCAATTCCTCCAGGAATTTGTCTCATTCTTGTTTAAAGCCATCCAAGGTACAATAAAGGAGATTCCGTCTAAAGACCAGGAAGAACCTAATGACAGTAAGAGCTGTTCAACAGTTGAATGGTCTCCCATTGTGGACTCTCCTTCCTTGGAGGTTTTTAAGCAGAGGTTGAAAGACCATCTGTCATGGATGCGTCAGTTGAGATTCCTGCCTTGCAGAGGGTTGGACTAGGTGACACTCGGTGTCATGGTCCGGTTCACGGGTGATTGAAGTCCTGGCACGGGATGTCAGGACCGGGGGCAGGATGGCAGGGTGGGAGCAGGAATGGGAGACCAGAAGCCAGGAGTTGGGAAGCCAAGAGTCCGAGGGTCAGGAAGCAAGGAGTCACAAAGGCAGGGGCCCGAGGAGCAAGGAGGAAGGAGTCACAAAGGCAGGGGCCCGAGGAGCAAGGAGGAAGGAGTCACAAAGGCAGGGGCCCGAGGAGCAAGGAGTCACAAAGGCAGGGGCCCGAGGAGCAAGGAGTCAAGAAACCAAACACAGCAAGGCAGGGAACATGTTGCTGTGGCAAAGAGCTGAAGGGAAATGCTGACCTTATATCCCTTCCCGGCTCTTGCCACCAGGTGCAGTGAGTTACCAAGCGGCCTCACCTGTGCGGCCGCACCTTGCCTCTCCAGAACAAACTTAGGAAGGCCCCAGTCCTGCAAAGTCCTACTGGTCACAAGGTCCGGCTCCTGCATGGACACCTGACACTCAGGGTCCCTTCCAATTGTACAATTCTAAGTTTGCATCCATCACCTCCTCCTGTGGTTCAACTAAGCGCTGTGTTCTTTTATCTGCTTCGAATCTTCCGACATTCAGCTGTATTGGAAGTCCGCAAATTCTAGTGTTAGGAGAGACGGAGAAAAGGTTTACCTCATCCACTTTCTGCAGGCCTTGAAAAATCCTATAAACTTCTACGGTGTCCCCTCTCACTCATCTTTTCTCTAACTAAAAAGTCCCAAACGCTGCAAACCTTTCCTCACAAGGGAGTCGCTCATTGATCATTTGGGCTGCCCTTTTCCGAACCTTTTTCAATATCCATTTTGAGGGGAGGCGACCAGAACGTCACAAGGTCCCGCCTCGCCCCCTGAATTCCTCCAATCAGGCTCTTCTTCTGGACCTGCCTAGTGCTTCTGGCCTCCTGCCATTTACTGCCTCAGCCTCGCTGTCATGATCAGTTGCCGCCGCAGATGGTCCCCAATTTCTCATTTCACAGCCTCCAAATAAAAAAGTATTTTGCTGCATCCGGTACAAGAAGTTCTGCATCTCTTATTCCTGTTTTCTTTTTCTTTCCTTCGCTTTCTATTTTTAGCGGACTCCATTCTTGATGTCAAACTGCAACCGTGAGGCTGGCTTGGGGGAGAGGTGGGCGGGCGGGAGGAAGGAAGGGGGTAGGCAGATCTGTCAGATTTCTCTCTTTTTTTATTTTCTCAGTCTTGTATTCAGTTCTCCACATTTCTACATCAGTTTGTGGAGGTTTTTTTCAAAGCCTCTGTGAAAATTCAGCAGCATTTTGGTGCAAATTTCTCTGTGTGTGTCTACACACACACACACACACACACACACACACACACACTTTCCCTAATACACACATTTTTTGCAAAGCACTATTTCCTAATACAAAGCTATTGTGGTTAATGTTCATAAGTATTTGCATTTCAGTTTTACTCTTTCCCTCAGCACATGCATTTCTGTTGTTAACAGAAAAATCCAAGGGCTCCCTTGGACAAAAACAAAGACACCAACCAGGATAACTTTGAGCAAAACAGCAGCCTGTAGGCTTGGCCGTTATTGATCTGTTGCAACAGGGTGCTCCTGCAGGAGAGAGGAGGAACCCAGAAAAATGGTGTGCAAGGCCTTATAAAGACTTTTGAAATTGCCACCCTGTAGATCAAGACCACCCCCAGAAACATCATACATACATCACAGAAGGGGTGTAACCTAAGACCACCCCTCAGATACATCACACCTACATCACAGAAAAGGTGGTCTAAAACAGAAATTTGAATATTGTTTTTCTCCTGTTGTTGTTTTTCTCCTGTCTGGCAGGTTACTTGACTGGATTTCCTGGGGAGCCTGGCCATTCTTTTGTAGTGATAAATGCTTAGTTCCTGGGCCAGGTCACAGGCTCACACCCTGTTCAAACACAGGCATACCCTTAAGACAGGATTTGTGAAGGAAAAGACAATGGGGAGGCTTTTCCAGTTTGACCTTGCAGAGAAAACATTTGCTCAGTTTAGGAATCAAAATGGTTCCAGGTTGGCCTTCCTGTGCTGATCTATGTATGTGCTTGGTTGGTACCATATTGTTTAGGCAAGTTCACCTTTAAATGCAAGCTGCATCAGAATTCTCTCTGTTTCTTAACAGAAGTATCACCTGGTAGATCTCTGG